ACAAGTTTGACTTTCGTTACGACTAAACCTACCGAACACCGAATACTGCTCTGTTGCGTGTTACTGCTGTATTTTTTGCAGCAGCAACTGCTGTGTGCTGTTTGGTACTCCTTCGAATAACATCGGCTATGATCAATCAGAGACGCCAGTTTATGGCGAGAACTTTTTTTTTTTTTCTCCCATAATCGGATTCTGTCGTCTGCCCTCTGGCCGCTATCCTCCACTTCTACAAGCTAGACGACCCAACCGGGGTCACATAGGAGGGGGGGACTGGACCCCCCCTGCAGTTCCTGCCTGAGGTATTTTTATCGCGAGAAGGGTACAGCAAGCTCTTCCCTCGCGACTTACGAAGTCGATGATGGTTTACCAACAACGAGCTTTGCAAGGCGTCGCTTTCGTCCTAGACCAGGATTTATTTAGTGAGAAAAAAACTCACTCTGCCGGGACTCGAACCCATGACCTGGCCCTCAGCAGGCTGCGAGGTTACCCACTAGACGAAAACTGTGAGCGCTCGTTTCCAAGTTAATTTCTGGCGCCAGTCTGTTGTGAACCTTGTGGTGTAGAAGTACCTTGCAGTACTTGATAGTTTGGCGTTTCAGCCGGGTTCAAGCAGCCGCATTTTCGTTTTATTTTTTGCCTCACTTTTCATTTCTGTAATATTTTTCCCTGGAGGGGGTGAGCCCGTCCCTTTCCCTCGTCTACTGTGAGCGGAAGCGTGTATGCTCACCAGTCAACCGCTTGAACTGCAGAGTTCTCATTCTACTCCGGAGAGAGAATCGAACTCCAAACCTGCTACCTACAGAAGTGTGTACGAGGTTACCGCTAGACCACCGGGGCGAAAATCGACCGAACTCGAAATATCAGCCCAGCGGGGAACACGCAAGTTGAAGTCTTCACCGCGTTTTGAGGAACTCTTGTGGATGGTGGGCTTGGTACGTTCAAGCCGTGGTACCGACACTTGAGGAGCCAGTGAGGCTTACCGGAAACAAATTTGTCGGGGCCTGTGCCGTTGGTTGTCTTCCTTCACTACCTAAGGTACGTCGCTGCAGTTGGATTTGGTTTGTAAAAAATACCACCTCTATCCCGGACTCTAAACTGTGATAAGAGATGAAAAATCAAATTGTTTTTACTACAAACAAAGCGAAGGAGTAACTGCAGACGAAAAATCATAATGTTTTTACTACAAAACATGCGAAGGAAAAACTGCAGGCGTCATGGCTCACGTGAAATCCGCTTTGTTCGCGTCGTTCACAGCAGTCGCAAAGCGGGTGTTGACGTGTTGACGTCAAGACGATCATCGTGGCGTATTTCTACGGTTTCCCGACCAGCACACAGCGATATCTCCCCACCGTGTGGCCCACCGTGTGGGTTGTAGCAGGCTCAACTGTTTTGTCTGTTTTTGGCATACACCATCTTGTTCTGTTTTTCTCGTTCTTTTCGTGCAGGTGGCCGCGCCGACGGCACCGCCGCCCTCCCGCTGGCCGCCCTGGAGTGCGCCATATGCCTGTCTCTGGTGTGCGAGCCCGTGAGCCTCAGCTGCGGGCACTCCTTCTGCAGGGTCTGTCTCGTCAACACCCTTCGCCGGAACAAAAAGAAGTGCCCCACGTGTCGAGCGGTGTGTCATAACAGGCGAGAATTTGTGTTCTTACTCGTCTTATCCCCCAAAGCCATCGATAAGAAATACCAGAATGATATCTTGGTCAGCCGGTTAGCGCAGTCGATGCCACAGTAGTAGTAAACACAAACACACATTATAGCACGTTGCCCATCACCTCTGATGTTTGCGCTCAAAATTGATGGGCGTATGACCAAGTACTACATACCAGTGATGTGACGCCGAAGGTTTGTTCTCCTGCTAGAGAGGTCTCAAAATATTCGGGCACTCTTTGTTCTTCAGCCACAAATTAGGTGTACATGGAGCGCAGTGATTTCCGCGCCGCCTTGTGCGTGGAATTGCTTTTTTCAAAAATTGCACCATCGCAGCTCCGACATATGCAAAATGACAGCTGGGGGCGCGATGTTACATGGTTTGTTCGAAGGATCAATGTTCATGTTTTGCAGTAGACCTTATACGTAGACCAAATATCTTCGAAATCGTTGTCAGCAAAACATTACCTCCCGCTTGCTTGTTTGCGCACGCTCATCGCACATGAACCACCAAGTGCAAAAACGAATATTGCTATAATAATTCCACAGTGCGGAAGATCAGCCGGAGGACGTGATGCTGGCCAACATCGCCCAGACCTGCTTCCCCGAGCTCGCGGCGGCCCGGCTGAAGGAGATGGAGGCGGAGCGGGAGAAGTTCATGACCGTGCTACCAGTCTTTTATTGTGCGTCAGTCAGTCACGTCGTTCTAGTGGTGGTGGAGCGTGAGGTGGTTTGGTGGCCTGATCCGACAGCTTGTTGTAGTGTTTCCGCGCCCTGTTGGGTAGGATAGCTTCTTTTTAAGTTGTGACGCTGAGTGCATGCTGAAGAGAAGCTTGATGACGTAGTCTGGTGTTTGTATCGGCACGCGGAGGAGTGGAGGTGAGCACTCCCCTCTGCCCCACCCTCGCTCCTTGTTCTAACTTGGAACAGCTCTTTGAGTCGGCGGTTATCGTTGGCATGTTGCACCGTTTCATGCTGTCATTGCTCTCATCGCTTTGTTCGTCACCACCGCGGCCTCCTTAACACGGCCGTTATCGTAGTGGAACTTGTGTTTATTATCATTGGCCGTTTTATTTTCTTCTCGTGGGCAAGAGGGTCCTCGCAACTTCACTTCGATGTGCCCCCTCTAGCCAGCGGATGATGCCACTGGTTAAATGTGTTCCTTTCCCGGTTAGTCGTCGTTATCCGAACCCGAACAACAGCTTTTCGGCTTTTTTTTTTTTTCAGAGCATGAGAGACTGCTGTTGATGCCCGCTACCGCTGCCGTTGCCGCGGTCCCGCTTTTGGTGTGTCGCTACAATAACAGCATCACAACATCCTCCATCAACCATCGCCCCTCTTTACGCCTGAAAAGTCTCCTCATTATCCACCACTACCACTGAGCCCCCCC